GAGCTATTATATGACTGAAAATGTAAATCTCCCATGAATCTTTCAAATTTTAATTTAAATACCACCAGTAAAATGGTTCCCACGTTGAAAGGTAAAAGCTATGCTGGTTTATTTTCATGTCGTAAGTCTGGCAGACTGGCCTTCCCCTATCTACCTTATCACTTTGTTAGTCCTGGATGAGCTTTCAAAAAAAAAAAAAGATAACGTTTTGTTTTTCTCTAATCTTTCTCCTTCCTTCCTTTATAAGTTCTCCAGTGCTATTTTGTTACAACATGCTGACTGGTTTTATGTCCATATTTAAAGCTACAAACACTACAAGCTTTAGACTTAGTACTGTTTGTGAGTTCACCTCTGGCATTTAAAACTAATGATATGCTTTGTAAATCCAAATGAGGGAATATGTTAAAGAAAAAATTCAAAGGGTCAAACAGTTGGTACATGTGAGACATCATCCTGAAGTCATAAATATTTTTTTTTTGCCTGAGAATTAATGATTGTGAAATAGCTAATTAAGAGCTATACAAACAAATATGTTTTCATATTGACACATTAAAGTTGGGTCATGTAGAATGGTATCTATTATAATTTTTCTCTGCTATATTAACACTATTATACATGTAACTAATAAAAATGTCCACTGGTATGGGATGTGTTAATATTAATAAATTAGCTGGGCAAAGAATCTTCTCTCACTTCACATGTTCAATTAGTACATTGCATAATTAAAATACACGGGAGCTTTTATTCTAAAGCATGTAGAACTGTTTGCTCTTCCATGACACGCTAACAGAGCTTGGTTCTATGTACAAAAATACATTCTTCCAAAGATGGGAGCATTGGCTCTGGCAGCTGTTACTTCCAGACATTCCATGCATGATTTCTCACATGAGAAAAGCCTGGCTACAGCTGTCAGGGACACATCTTCAAAAGCACTATCTTTCCCTTAAATAAACCGGAATTTGCATAAGACTGTATAAGTATGACATGTGATTGGCCAAAAGTTGAGACAAAATTTTTCATAAAATGTTAAATTTTTATTGAACTTATGAAACTAAACTTATTTTCATACTCTCTAAATAAATCCAGCTATAATCCATAAAGTCTAAAATCCTAACATTTTTATTATTTTTTAATCTTTATTTTTCCATTAGAATTGACATTCAATATTATTTTATATTAGTTTCAGGTGTACAACATAGTGGTTAGACATTTATATAATTTATGAAGTGATCCCCCAATTAGTCTACTACCACCTGGCACTATGCATAGTTATTACAATATTGACCATATTCCCTATGCTGCACTTCACATCCCCGTGACTCTTTTGTAACTACCAATTTGTAATTCTTAATCCCTTTACCCTTTTTACCCACCTCTCCTAACCCACCCCACCCACCCATCTGGCAATCATCAGTTTGTTCTCTGTATCTATGAGTCTGTTTCTGTTTTGTTTATCTATTTATTTTCTTTATTTCACATATGAGTGAAATCATATGGTATTTGTCTTTCTCTGTTTTACTTATTTCACTTAGTGTAATACCCTCTAGGTCCATCCATGTTGTTGCAAATATTAAGATTTTTTTATGGCTGACTAAGATTTCATTGTATATGTGTATCACATCTTCTTTATCCAGTCATCTATTAAGGCACTTAGGTTGCTTTCAAGCCTTGGCTATTATAAATACCACTGCAGCGTACATAGGGGTGTATATATTTTTTCAAATTAGTGTTTTGGATTTCTTCAGATAAATATCCAGAAGTGGAATTGCTGGGTCATAGGTAGTTCTATTTTTAATCTTTGAAGAACCTCCAAACTGTGTTCCATAGAATTTGTTAAACATTTTTAGATGCCTTAGCTGAGTATACAGTTGCTCCTAATTCAGCTATGTATTATTAGCTTGGAGCAAGAGTTTAAACAGCAGAGGTATTAACCATAATGTTGCAATTTTTCCTGTGCAGCTAGCATGTGGAAAAAAAAAAAAAGAAATGAAATGACACATGCACATGGCTGTTAAAGAAAGCACTAATTGTAAAAGCAAAAGACTGGCAACAACTCAAATGCCATCAATAGGGCATTGGTAGTAAAAACTACCATAAAGCCATGAAATAGATTACTATACAGCTGTAAAATAGAATGAGGACGTCTCTATACTGTTATGGAGTGATAATGAAGACATATTGTTAAGTAAACAGGTAATAATACACATAGGAATGTGTAGTGTGCTATTTTGTGTAAGAAAGAAGAGAATATGTATACTTATATTTTCAGAAATGAACAATGGAAGGATAAAAACCAAAACCTAATAAAAATGATTACCTATGGCTTGGGGGTAGAACTAGGGGAATGGGAATTGAAAGGAAACCTACACTTCTCTGAATGCTTTAAGTTTTTGCTTTAGAACCTTATAAGTGTTTTATACAATTAAAAAACAAATATTAATCACAAAGACAAAACACAAAGTAAGACCTAAAAATAAAAAATGAACTGAAACAAATTAACCTAACTGTATATCAAGTTGATAGCATAATCAAAAGGAGAATTATTTCAAGTGACTTCAGAGCATAGTGTTTTGACAGTTCATCAATGGAATAAATTCTAAGATCAAAAGAAACAAAGAAATTTTAAACTTGCATTAATTCATCTTGTTCTTATTATTTTGTCTTATTTTGCAACTAATAATATTCCGCTCACATATTAAGAAAAACAAGTACTTTTGATCATTATCATTGAGTTCTTTGATTTTAGAGTTAAAAGATATACAAATATAAAATCAAAAACTAAAATTCCTAAAAACTAAAAGCCCTGAATTTTTAATTTGGTTGGTACTATCAGCATGAACTCGTGTTATTTTTTCTCTCCTAAAACTATGTCCAGGTTTCCCCCATACCCAAAAGTAGAGCATTCCTATGAAACCTGTTGTAGGCCAAAATGGTGTAAAGCAGAGAGGCAGTTGCCATTAATTTTTATGAAAAAATTTTTGAGCATACCCAGACCTAAAAAATACCCTACCAAATCATACCAAATAACACATAAAACTTAACATGACATCGACATACAATGAAAGCAGTGTCACTGGCCACCCGGTGTGTGCTGCCTCTATAATGGCTCGCTGCAAGACAAGCACTGAATGAAAAGCTATTTTCGCTTTTCGCCTTTTTTTCGTAAAGTTGAAAATCCTCTTCGTATTTCTTTCAGTTATTGAAAGCATATAGTAATTTAGGTCTTTTGTAAAAGCGAAGTGGCGTAGTGGGAACTTTCGAAAAGCAAGAGATACCTGTGTTTCCTATCCCCACTGAAAAGACTGAGTTACTACCAGTAACAATGACCACCCCTACTGCCCAGGTTATTGTTTCTAAATATTATTCCCCGCTAAAAGTAACCCAAGCTCTTTAGAGAAATGGCTAATTTTAGATCTGGGACACGAACTGTATTAGATGAGCCTGGAATATCTTGTCATGCCTTAACTTCTAGGGCTCATATCAAAAGGATGCAGGATCCAACTTGAAGAGGCTTCCATTACCCAAAGGTAGAATAATTTGAGCATCAAAATATGACAATGACTACCATGGACTGAAACATGTTAAGTTTACAAATATTATTAACTCATAATGGTCATCTTTGTACCAGAATTGATAGAGGGAAAGAATTAAAACATTTGTTCTGCCTTTTTCTGTGCAGACTGTATTTCACAGTCACCAAATAGTCAGTGAGGAAAGTTCTTCATTATAGAGAAATTGGAGCTAATAAAAACAGGAAGAATAATGGAATTAGAAAACCACCATTTTGCAACCAAAAATGACATGATGGATCTAAGCAACGAACATTAATATCTGCTAAAACCTTTAAGTGAGAGGTTGATAGAGAACCTTAAAATAGGAAGATCAGGCTGACATCACCACGGACCCACTGCTCAATCTTAATTAACATTGCTGAAAGTTGGAGAAGTGCATCCTGATATGATGTGATAGGAATCACACAGTACCACCTATGATGTATTCTTCATCAAAAGAAATCAAAACTGAATCTTATCAAGCTTCCTGATCTAACTACTGGTTTACAGAAACTATGAGGGATAGAGGAACATATTAAATGACACCATGAGAATAAAATCAGCCAACTCCAAAGATGGGAGCAATTTTAAAGGATAGTACCAACCAAATTAAAGAATGTGGAAAATTTTAAAGGATAAACGATCTAGTTTCTTCAATAAACAAATGGCAATGAAAGGAAGGACAGTGTGGGCTGTAAGTGATTGAAAAGAATTTAAAACACTTAACAACAAATGTAATGTATAAACCTTGTTTGGATTCTATTTCAATCAAACCTATTGTAAAAAGACATTATTTTTGGACAGGGAAAATTAAACATGGAGGGTATAAAATGATATTAAGGAATTAATTATTGATAATATTGTTGGATGTGTAGCTGGTATTGTAATTATGTTACTGTTCTGTTGTTATTTTGTTTGTTTGTTTTTATCTTAAGCCCTATCTGAAATGCCTACTAAAATATTTAGGGGTTACATGGTATGATATCTGCGATTTACTTTTAAATACTCCAGGTCTACTCCCAAAAGTTGAAGTGAGGATGGATCGATTAATTATTAGAAGCTGGATGATGAGTAGAGATGGATTCATTGTGCCCTTATTCTTTTATGTGTATTTCCATAATAAAATGGTTTTTTTTTTGTTTTGTTTTGTTTTGTTTAATTTTCCCACCAGATTAGCCCAGATTAGCTTAGATCATTATAGCACTGCCTTCTTAGCAATGTTTTTAGGTTTTAAGTGAGAGTTTTAGTGTGTAGAATGTTACATTTGAGGATCTTATAGGAGAAAGAAAAGTTTCCTATTATAGCTTAACTATAATGTCTTTTCCTTTCATCCAGTTAAATTTTGTAAGTCATAAAATTACTTCATAGAAAGAAAGAATATTGCTTAGATATAGTGTCGTTAACAAGCGTATATGCCAAAATACACTGACATTATACCCTCCTTTTCAGACCAAGCCACCCTGGTAGAACAAGTAAAAAGAGTAAAAGAAATTGAAGCCATTGAAAGTGATTCTTTTGTTCAGCAGACATTCAGATCAAGTAAAGAAGTCAAAAAGGTAAGTTTTCATCCAGGCATTATGAATAAGCCTTTAGTTTCCAACTGAAGAGATGCTTTATTAATGGATTTCACTTAAATAAATGTAAGTGCTTCTTCTAATAGATGAAGTAGGGTGAGAGTGTCAGCATGTTGTTGAAAGAATGAATCAGTGAGAATCAGTTTAAGTTTAACTTGTCAAAAAATATACTGTAAAAATGTATCTGATGCCATTTTTACTTTAAAATTCACTGAAAAGACAAAGTAAAATGTCAACATGGTAGTTCTTTAACAGTAATACGCATATCATGAACATATACAGGTTTCTTTTCAAACATATGTATCTACTTTTTGAAATGGCATTGCTAGAGAAAAAGTCAAAAAAGAGCTTTAACAATAAAATTATTTCCCAAATAGTAATATATGTTTACACTCTTTGCCCAGATGGGTATCACTTATTCAACTCTAGTAAAAGGAGCTTCAATTGGCATTTTATTTCTGTTGAATATTTTATGTATTTTTTCAATCGTTATTAGGGCTGCTTTTAGAAATATGTGTTCTTTTGGTAGGAAAAGGCATTCTACTATGAAATACGTGTATTCTTTAATAACGTACATATAACGAAGTCGTGGTATAGTTACCAGTTATTCGAAAATATTCTATATACCTATAAATATATTAATAACTGTACAATATCCTGCAGATGAATGTATCATTTTTTCTCTGATATTACACATTTAAGTAGCTGTAAGTTTGTAGGTGTTAAGTTGTTATAAATTTGGAGGTATTACATGTTTGCAAATATCCATTATTATCACCTTAAGATTAATTTTTCAAGATGAGTTATTTGCTAAAGGTTAATATTATTTATTTTCGCACGTGTTCCTGAAGTCATCCTCTAAAAATATTGTACAATGCAAAGCCCCTCCAGAAGTGCAAGGAGACGTCAGCCTCCCACACCCTGTTAACAGGTCCTATCAGACTTTTTCATGTTTACCGACCTGAGAGGTGAAAATTAACCTTTTGTGTTTCCATTAGCATTTCTTTTGTTACTAGTGAAATGGCCATCTTTTCAATTACCATATAATTTAGTCTGGGGACATGAACTGAGTATGTGCTGCATATGGGGCCCACAGAACTGGACAGCTTTGGTTAATCCAGGGGCCTTGCCTTGTCATTTTGTCCATTCCATTTGAACTTTTTGTAGTTTGCCTCCACAACTCCTAAAAAATGGAGCTGTGAAACGGACATTTACAAATGTAGCTGCCCATTTTTAAAATATTTTACTCTTACATATTTAAAGATCATTCATATGTCCTAATTGAATTGTAATTTATTTTAAAAATTACTTTCCTAGTTTTTGTTTTGTGAAGTTCACCCAGTGAGACTTTCCAGTTCTCACTGGACTTGCTTAAGATAAACTAGCATTTTCTTTCTGTGGAAATACTTATTATTCCATAATTAATACACTGAGTTTTCTTCTAAATAACTTTTTCCTGTTGGGTACTAATTATTAATATAATTATTTTTAATTCTGTTCTTTTCCTCCAAGATACTAGCAGCTCTTCCAATAACTAGTGAAATTGGCAGTGAATAAGGAAATTGATCAAAGGCCCACTTGATGTAATAAAAAGAGAATGGGCTTTGGATTCAAAGAGATCTAAGTTGGAATCTTAACTCTCATACTTCCTACCATGATTTATGATCTCAAGCAAGCCTCTTGACCTCTGTGAGCGTCAGTTTCCAAATTCATAAAATAGAGCTAATCAAACCTCCTTTTTGGAGTTATTGAGGATTAAATATAATGATTATCTAATATCTAGCATAGTTCTTGATCCCTAAATGTTTATTTTTAAGTTACATACTCTAGCATCTCAATTATTTGACATCTAAGTATACTCTATAAACTAAGCGTAGTGCTTGAAAACTTCTACTCTAGGTGTTCACTCTGTGTTCAATAAGTATGAACACCTTACCCCATTACATTTCTTCAATATGCCCCTTAGTTTCCCCGAGTCTCCATGCACACCAGTAAGACAGACCTCTTAATGAAAAACACAGAAATTCTTAGACATCTGGTTTCACCTTAAAAGTCTTTTGAAATGTATAAATGTAAATATCTGTATATTTGAGTTCTACGATTAGTAATGTTTTTACTTCATTGCATCCCCTAGAAAAGTTTTAAAAGATTAATTCCCTATAGGTAATTAATCTTAGGATAGCTAACTAAATTCAAGAGAAAAACTCTTCTTTCCAAATCTATAACAAAATCCTATATAGTTACATGGCTTCTAATGGGACCAGTATAAAGGAATTTCACCTAAATATCTGATCTAAGGGAGCACCGTAAATAATTATTTTAATAATTAGTTTCTGTTTCCTTTAGTTTTTAGTGCTGAGTTGGAATTTACTCTCACCTTCAAAATAGCCTTTTCTATACTTCTAATTTAAATGCTACCACTGGGGATTGAGAGGCCTAATATGGAACAGAGGTCTCCATTTTGTAAGGAACCTTCATAAATCTGTAAAAGAAATCCATCTTCAGTTCCAACTGTCTTTAAAAATGGGTTTCCCTTAACAGTAATTCACAGAAAGAAATAAAATCAATTCTGGAAAGCCTAGAATTAACTAGTTCTAAGTTGGTTAAGTATGACAGAGCAGCAAACACAGCCTAGAAATATTATCAGTCCAGCACTGTGAGCTGAGCCACCTAGAAATATATAGAAATATATTTGGTTAAAATATTTTACTAACGTTTTTATTTCTTTCCTCTAAAATCAAAACCAAAATACAGTAAATCTTGGGTTTTGCAATTGAGAAGCACTGGTCAAAAGCATGAAATAAAGAGTCAGACAGACTTGGAACCACAATTCTGATTCCGCCACTTACTGGCTATACGGTCTTAAACCATATAACCTCGTTACACCTTGGCTTTTTTATCCTGAAATGGGGATAATATTATCTGTTGTGGAGGTTTTTAAAAAGATGAACAAGATACTTTACAGAACAGTCAGCCAAGTGCCTGGCGCAGAGTGAGAACTCCAGAAATGAAAGCCATCACCTCTCCCCTGCCTCCTGCCTCCTGCCTCCTGCCTCCTGCCCAGGCTCTGCCTCCTCCTGCT